AAGGAAACCAAATACCTGGGTGTGACGCTAGACAGGCAACTGTCCTTTGCATCCCACATCCGGAAGGTCAAAAACCGAGCCTCCTTTGTCCTCGGTCGTCTCTATCCTCTCCTATGCAAGCAGAGTAAGATGTCACTTAGAAATAAGATGACGTTATACAAAACTTGTATAAGACCTATTATGGCCTACTCGTGCGTAGTATTCGCCCATCGTTTTAAGAAACTAGTACCTCTCCAGGTACTCCAAAACCGCTTCTTACGTTGTATCACGGGTGCCCCGTGGTACATGCGTAACGTCGATCTACACAGAGACCTAAACCTCCCTACAATCAGGCAATACTTCAAGGAACTCTCCGTGAGGTACTTTGAAAGAGCCGCCACACATCCTAATCCTCTGGTGAAGGAAGTGACATCCTACGTCCCGAACAGATTTCACACAGGCGTTAAGAGACGACCAAAGCACGTACTCATCGATCCGGACGATGACATTACGATCTTGAATAGGGTCACCGCGTTGACAGATAGAAATGCTAGTAGTAGTAGTAGTGGTAGGGTTACACTACACACAGATTCATACACTCACCGCTCTCGCCGGCGAGAGCGAGGTCCCCGCCTCCGCACGTCCCTCGTGAGAGGGCGTCGAAGGCCGCCGCTGGCAATCCTCCCTTCATCCACGACGTCCTAAGTTCGTGGTCCGAGCCTCACTTTAGCAGGCGCCCTTAGAACGTACGTTCCCCTGGGGGCCCTTCAGGTCCCCTCGAAACGGGTCAGTCCCGGCACTGGCCCACTCTACCGGTGACGCTGTAACAGCCGCAGGGCTAACAGCATATTCATTACAAAAAAAAAAAAAAAAAAAAAAATTTTTTTACAGAACAGCTTACAGTACTCCGTACCGAAAGCACCGTTGAAGTCAATCGTTGTTATAATAATATATCATATTATAATCAAACATGCCGCCTAAAACCAGCGGTAAGGCAGCCAAGAAGTCCGGCAAAGCTCAAAAGAACATCTCCAAATCCGACAAGAAGAAGAAGAAACACAAGAGGAAGGAGAGCTACGCTATCTACATCTACAAGGTTCTGAAGCAAGTGCATCCCGACACCGGTATATCAAGTAAGGCCATGTCGATCATGAACTCTTTCGTGAACGATATATTCGAACGTATAGCCGCCGAAGCGTCACGTCTCGCACACTACAACAAGAGATCCACCATAACGTCCAGGGAGGTCCAGACCTCCGTGAGATTGTTGCTGCCCGGCGAGTTGGCCAAACACGCCGTCAGTGAAGGAACGAAGGCCGTCACGAAGTACACCAGTTCCAAGTGAGGAGGAGAGGAAATGAAATGAAAAATATAATATAACAAAGGCCCTTTTCAGGGCCATTAAAAGATTCACATGAAAAGAATAATAATTTATTATTATTCCTTATATAAGTTTCAACGCATCGAACTAAACATCTCGTTGGATTTTATTATAATATTTTTAATAATTACATTAAATCTTTTAAGTTATGGCGTAGAGTTAAATATATTATATCATCGTCTTGCGATATCTATCTATGTCAGAAAATACATACTTATAATTATTAAAATCAATTTGGAATACGCGTTATAGACATTTAAATTAATATAAATGTTGTATACCTATATATTAACGTCACTGACAATATACATATATGTATATATCTATAACTACTATATACTACATATTATATTTTCTAATGCTATTACAGCGAATACGAAGACGACCGTGTCGATTTAGTGACCAGAAGCATAAACCCGAACCCCTCGAACGATCCCCGCCGACTGCCTCTACGGAGTACGTATATAAGAGCCGGTCGGTTTATTTACGGCTATCATTATAGTTCGATCCTCGCTGTAGTGCACACAACTGTAGTCCGTTGTTTCATCGCGTACCGTGTCAAAGTTATTTTTATCTCAATAATGGCTCGTACTAAGCAAACAGCTCGTAAATCAACCGGTGGTAAGGCACCACGTAAACAGCTAGCAACGAAGGCGGCCCGTAAGAGCGCACCGGCAACCGGAGGAGTCAAGAAGCCTCATCGTTACAGACCCGGTACTGTGGCACTTCGTGAGATCCGTCGCTACCAGAAGAGCACGGAACTTCTCATCCGCAAGCTACCTTTCCAACGTCTAGTGCGTGAGATAGCTCAAGATTTCAAGACCGATCTTCGTTTCCAGAGCTCCGCGGTGATGGCCCTGCAGGAGGCCAGCGAGGCGTATCTCGTAGGTCTCTTCGAAGACACGAATCTTTGCGCTATTCACGCTAAACGCGTCACTATTATGCCTAAAGATATCCAGCTAGCAAGAAGGATTCGCGGTGAACGTGCCTAAACGTCAATGAGTGTCAATTGTGTTGTTTCTTTTTATACGTGTATGTGTCTAAATAGTGGTGTGCATTTTTGAATAATGATATGTACATACACATTCAAAGATCATCATACGTAAATAAATAAACAACACGATAACAAATATTAATTAAAAAAGGCCCTTTTCAGGGCCGCATATATATCTGAATTAATAAGTTATCGTTTCATACAAACGAGAACGTCTAAACAATCATAATATTCCGTATAATATATTATTAAATAAAAATAATAATGTTAAGTTACGCATGTATGTGAGTACACAGTATTTATTTAACACATAGCTACAGTATTTAGATTATGTAAGTAAAAACACTTGTATACAATAAACTATGATGAGACGCACAAAGTTATTATCGTAAAGGATACAATAAAATAATAAATATGTACATGCATTCTGGAAACAAAAAGTCGTGATTGTCTTAGATGGCAGGAACTTCCATTGAAATACATATGTACATATACTGCAGGTGCCTCGCCTCTCTCACTGGTCCGTTCCTTTCTGAAAACGATTTATTGATATGTATTTTATTTTATTTACATATAATTAATGAAAATAATATTTATTGCAAAATTTTACTGAGACATTACTCTAGAGACATGCGCCCGCCGCGGGGTCCGGGGAGGGCGATACAGAGTACCCTCCTCCCCCCCAACCCCGGGCCCGTCCCCGTACATAACACTCGTACGGTCCCCGTCCGCCACCCCCCCTCCCCCGCCGCACCCCGGTACACGCTATAAAAAGGACGGTTTTGTGGCCCCGTACCGATTATACTCAGAGATCTACACGCGTCGCGCATCGCGATAGGTAACAATCGTGTGTGAAGAAACAATAGCATCAACTACACTACATCATGACCGGTCGCGGTAAAGGAGGAAAGGGTCTGGGAAAAGGTGGAGCCAAGCGTCACAGGAAAGTGCTCCGTGATAACATCCAGGGCATCACCAAACCGGCCATACGTCGTCTGGCAAGAAGAGGAGGCGTCAAACGTATCTCCGGTCTGATATACGAAGAGACCAGAGGCGTACTCAAAGTGTTCCTCGAGAACGTCATCCGCGACGCGGTAACGTACACCGAGCACGCTAAGAGGAAGACCGTCACAGCCATGGACGTCGTGTACGCCCTTAAGCGTCAGGGACGCACCCTCTACGGTTTCGGCGGTTAAAGCAGCAGCAGCAGCCATATCCTCCGATATACACACACGAAGACGACGACGTGATATAAAGCAGCAAGTGAAGAGTGTGGTGGTGGTGGTGATGATGATGATTCCAGTGTGTCTCTCTCGTGTGGTGTGCAGATCATCCTATTATTCTGCCCCCCTCACCCGCCGCCCGACTGCCCGACACTTCCTTCCACTCACTCTCTCTCACTCTCCCTCACCCTCACCCTCACCCTCTCTCTACTTACTCGCTTTATATCACGACGCGTCATCGTTACTGTTGGGGAACGAGGAAAAAAAAAGAAAAAAGGCCCTTTTCAGGGCCGCATATGTATCCGTTGAAATATTATAATTATTCACGATTATCGTGAATATCGAATATAGAGTTTCAACGACGGAATAATAAACTATATTATTATTTAATTTATAGTATATAATAGTAATAATATAAAAAAATCATAACTATCTCAACACACTTATGTTCTCATCACTCAAATCACCTATGGTCGTCGTCCATATCTTATGTTCTAAATATTATATACACATATTACATACATAATATTTAACAGCATTTTAAATAAATTTAGATAATCGATACCTACTATTACTAATAATAATAATGATGATACACGTATGTACCTCTGTCTCTCTACGTGTACATTACATACATACATACATTGCATATTATAATATGTACAATCATCATTTCGATAATCGTATCATCATATTCATCCGCTGCTATCGTACAATTATACAATAATATTATTCATAATTATCGAAAATTATGTCCTTATATTATATAATACATAACATAACGAAGACAACAACCACTACGAAGACGATTATACTATGCATTCGTGTACGCGGCCTTTGCTTCTCTCCATACTCTAACATCCCGGTGTGTGTTTTACGAGACCAGACTTCGATGCCGCATTAACAGTTCATAGATAATAAAAGACGATGATTATTCCATGGGCCTGAAGGAGTGATGTCTTCGTTTTCAATTAATCGATATCACATTACGCTATACGCTATTCTAAATGAGAAAAATAACTTTTAAACGAGACGTTACCTACGTCCCGAAAGGTATATAGAATTCAAACGTCTATTAATCTATGCTAACTACGTTTATAAAGTTATTTATTGTTCACTACGAAAGTTAGTTTTAAGATTAAACATATTGCATCTTTAAATTTATATAAACATATATATTATATTAAATAAAACATATAAAACGGATGGATGTTAGTGAAAAGTTAGAAGTGTTCGTACGTGAAAATGTTTAGCGACAACACGGTTCTCGTTACGGCATACCCGATTGTTAAATAACTACTAGCGACATCTCCGGCTATCATCATAGTTATATTTGTTTATAAACTGTGTCTGTGTGTCTGTGTGGTGTTGTGACCTGCTGAGAAGAATAATAAAAAAAAAAAAAAAAAAAAACATTAAAAAAATGGCAGATACCGCAGTTGCATCTGAAACACCGGCTCCGGCTACGCCTGCGAAGAAACCGAAAGCGTCAGCGGCCGCCGCCGCCGCTGCGGCCGGCTCGAAGAAACCTAAGGCTAAACCTACTCATCCCAAGACAGCTGAAATGGTAAACAACGCCATCAAAGAGTTGAAGGAGCGCAGCGGTTCATCGTTACAGGCTATCAAGAAATACATCGCCGCTCAATATAAGGTCGATACGGAGAAATTGGCACCGTTCATAAGAAAATATCTCAAGAGCGCCGTCGAGTCCGGTGCCCTGATACAGACCAAGGGGAAGGGTGCTTCCGGTTCATTCAAATTGGAATCTAAATCATCAGCAGCCAAGAAACCGTCGTCGGGTGGGTGGTGGTGGTGGTGGTGGTAAGGCAAGTGGTGGTTCCGCCGGAACCGGTAGGGCTGCAGCTTCGTCGGCATCCGTTAAATCTAAGAAAGCCGCCGCAACGGCATCGGCGGTGGCAGCGAAGGGAGGTAAGAAAGGCGGTTCCGTAGCTTCGTCGGCTGCATCTTCGCCGTCCAAAGCTAAAGCATCGGCGGCAGCGGCCAGGGATAAGAAAGCGGCCGCAGCCGCAGCAGCAGCTGCCAAAAAGAAGCCGGCCGCCGCTAAGAAAGGTTCCGCAGCCGCGAACGCCTCTGCCGCATCCTCCGCGACAGCTTCTAAGGCGAAAGGTGCAGCATCCAAGGCCAAGAAGAGCGCCAAACCTCCCACTAAGAAACCTAAAGCCCCGAAACCGAAGAAAGCATCCGCCGGTACCCCGAAATCGAAACCCGCAGCTAAGAAAGCAGCAGCAGCAGCGAAAAAGTAATAATTTTTGTATTGCTTTATCTATCGCGACGGCGGCAGCATCGGCACCGTGAGTGGTGAGCGCGCTCGGGGGTTGTAGACTTACGATGATACAAGTTCATTATAGATAAGAGATTCTAGATCATCGGAATGTCTCTCGGCGTCCCCCCGTACTCTTCAACGTTCGAGGAATCTACGAGAGTGACGTTCATCTTACAGGCACGCGTCGCAGATACGAAAGAAAAGAAAAAAAAAATACATAATATATAAAAAGCCCTTTTCAGGGCTAACATATATTTCATTATGAACCCAATCATGTCGGAAACTTAGATTTCGACACAACGTTGTGTTCTCGTTTTCCGAATGACAAAGATCGTCTCCTATAATAATAATAATAATAATAATAATAATAATAAAATATATAAATAATAATCGAATACAAGATAACATTCACGAAAATAGCGAACAATTCAGTAATAATATTATAATACGATAATAACAAAGTCAGTGGTGGCCAATTGGTTAAAAGGCCGCCCGCCTCTCATGCATGAGGGCGCGGGTTCGACCCTGGCAAGAATGACCAATGTGATTTTTCCAAGTTATATATTATGTACTTTCTTAGAGTATTTAGACATCACTCACTGATTAATGTTGATTCCCAAAGAGGGTTGTTGATATCAGGCAGGCGGCCGGTCATACATATAAACAAATAGCCAAATTATTCTTATAACATGTAAAACAGACCCTGGCTACAGCTGGAAAATTGCCAGGTAGAAGAAGAATAACAATACTGAATACATAGTATTAGACATATTAAACATTCTTGTTATAAATAAATAAAGATATTATATTATGTTGTTAGTATTATAGAAAATATTAGTTACATTGTACATAGCAGTACATAATTTTGATAATAATAATAATGAAAAACACACCATATAAAACATAATAATGTAACACTGGTGACAATTATTTTCTTTTAACTCACTTTTGGAAACCTTTATGACTCTTGTACCATTTACGATCGAGTAATCGAAATCTTCAATAAAACTATAAGGAATGTATAAAACTATACTTTAGTACTATAACTATAAGGAATATGTAAAACTAAACTGTGTTCAAGAAACGGTAAATAAGAATTTATTAGCTGCACAACATAATATTAAAGAAAAAGGATATCGTATATAAATTTAAGTATGAAACAATATATATATATATATATATATATATATATATATATATATATATATATATATATATATATATAATGCTTTTCCCGCATCTGCTGTGCCTAATAATTCAGATATTGACTAAAGCAATTCATTTGTTTTTTTTTTGTCTGTTTTCAAAATATATGTAATTAATGAATATCTTAATTACACCATATGAATTGATAAATTCCGTTTTTATTTGATATACTTACGCAGTTTATTGAAATTTCATCGCGTACGATTATTTCATTGAATTTCAAGACAAAATACTATTATTTTTTTTAGTCTATAGTACGATCCTCTAAAAAAAATGTCAACACTGATTGGAAAACCCTCCCGCTTCTCTCCGCGTCTACTTTAGCTCGTCATTCGTCTATATCCCCACCCCACCGATACGTGTAGACGTATATATAGTAAAGAGCCGCGCTACGGTTTTTTTTAAATTACTCTCTGCCAGTCGCGTGTGTTACGTTATTATATCAAAAGGTTAATATATTCGCAACAATGTCTGGACGTGGTAAAGGTGGTAAAGTTAAGGGAAAGGCGAAGTCTCGTTCTAACCGTGCAGGTCTACAGTTCCCCGTCGGTCGTATACACAGATTGCTGAGGAAAGGAAACTACGCGGAGCGCGTCGGTGCCGGTGCTCCCGTTTATCTCGCTGCCGTTATGGAATATCTTGCTGCTGAAGTACTCGAATTGGCCGGTAACGCTGCCAGAGACAACAAGAAGACCAGAATCATACCTAGACATCTTCAGCTGGCCATAAGGAACGACGAAGAGTTGAACAAGCTTCTATCCGGTGTGACCATAGCTCAGGGTGGTGTACTACCAAACATCCAGGCCGTATTATTGCCCAAGAAGACGGAGAAGAAGGCCTAAAGGATTATCATTGATGATCATCGGACCGCACCACCACCACCACCACCACCACCATAATCATCATCATCATCATCGTCGTCTCCGTCTACATATATACTAATGTAATGGGTATATAATATGTAATGGTTGATGTGATGTTTGTTTGTATGCATGTATACATAGTCATACATCCAATTGATGTTTATTTAAAAGGCCCTTTTCAGGGCCACAAAATAAATCGTTGTTTAACGTATATATTTTATATAATATACGAACAGTTCCATCGATACGAGACGTCAATTATAATAAGTAATATTATTATGTATTATTATTTAACGTATGTATATGAAACTACCTAAGTATATAATTAATTACATATTATACAATTTCTTTTAAAAGCAATATCATGATAATAATAAATTAAATAACTGATAGTAATCTACTTTTCAAAGTCGATAGATAATCTCATAATGCTATTATTTATTATTAGTTTTCAAAATAAACAAAAAATAACACAAAGCATTTAATGACCGAACGGTAATTAGTGTTAAGTACAGGTAATAAAATAATAATAATAGGAAACACTGACATCATAATTTTTATGACTCTTCTATTGTTATTATTAAGTACATACTCTTTATTTAATAGACTGTTTTTACATACTCTTATTTTATGATTATTATGTTATGATTATTATTTTCAAACCGAAACCCCCCTCCGCCACCCCCCCCCCCCCCCCCCCCCCCCCCCCGCAGACGGAAAACACATCGGACCCCACGATCGGAACCGACGCTTCCTATTGGTCGGTCCCCGGTGTGGACGTGCGTGCTCGATACGTAACTACATACTTGAGCATAATGATACACACTAGACCCTGGGTTGGATATTTTTTTACAGAACAGCTTACAGTACTCCGTACCGAAAGCACCGTTGAAGTCAATCGTTGTTATAATAATATATCATATTATAATCAAACATGCCGCCTAAAACCAGCGGTAAGGCAGCCAAGAAGTCCGGCAAAGCTCAAAAGAACATCTCCAAATCCGACAAGAAGAAGAAGAAACACAAGAGGAAGGAGAGCTACGCTATCTACATCTACAAGGTTCTGAAGCAAGTGCATCCCGACACCGGTATATCAAGTAAGGCCATGTCGATCATGAACTCTTTCGTGAACGATATATTCGAACGTATAGCCGCCGAAGCGTCACGTCTCGCACACTACAACAAGAGATCCACCATAACGTCCAGGGAGGTCCAGACCTCCGTGAGATTGTTGCTGCCCGGCGAGTTGGCCAAACACGCCGTCAGTGAAGGAACGAAGGCCGTCACGAAGTACACCAGTTCCAAGTGAGGAGGAGAGGAAATGAAATGAAAAATATAATATAACAAAGGCCCTTTTCAGGGCCATTAAAAGATTCACATGAAAAGAATAATAATTTATTATTATTCCTTATATAAGTTTCAACGCATCGAACTAAACATCTCGTTGGATTTTATTATAATATTTTTAATAATTACATTAAATCTTTTAAGTTATGGCGTAGAGTTAAATATATTATATCATCGTCTTGCGATATCTATCTATGTCAGAAAATACATACTTATAATTATTAAAATCAATTTGGAATACGCGTTATAGACATTTAAATTAATATAAATGTTGTATACCTATATATTAACGTCACTGACAATATACATATATGTATATATCTATAACTACTATATACTACATATTATATTTTCTAATGCTATTACAGCGAATACGAAGACGACCGTGTCGATTTAGTGACCAGAAGCATAAACCCGAACCCCTCGAACGATCCCCGCCGACTGCCTCTACGGAGTACGTATATAAGAGCCGGTCGGTTTATTTACGGCTATCATTATAGTTCGATCCTCGCTGTAGTGCACACAACTGTAGTCCGTTGTTTCATCGCGTACCGTGTCAAAGTTATTTTTATCTCAATAATGGCTCGTACTAAGCAAACAGCTCGTAAATCAACCGGTGGTAAGGCACCACGTAAACAGCTAGCAACGAAGGCGGCCCGTAAGAGCGCACCGGCAACCGGAGGAGTCAAGAAGCCTCATCGTTACAGACCCGGTACTGTGGCACTTCGTGAGATCCGTCGCTACCAGAAGAGCACGGAACTTCTCATCCGCAAGCTACCTTTCCAACGTCTAGTGCGTGAGATAGCTCAAGATTTCAAGACCGATCTTCGTTTCCAGAGCTCCGCGGTGATGGCCCTGCAGGAGGCCAGCGAGGCGTATCTCGTAGGTCTCTTCGAAGACACGAATCTTTGCGCTATTCACGCTAAACGCGTCACTATTATGCCTAAAGATATCCAGCTAGCAAGAAGGATTCGCGGTGAACGTGCCTAAACGTCAATGAGTGTCAATTGTGTTGTTTCTTTTTATACGTGTATGTGTCTAAATAGTGGTGTGCATTTTTGAATAATGATATGTACATACACATTCAAAGATCATCATACGTAAATAAATAAACAACACGATAACAAATATTAATTAAAAAAGGCCCTTTTCAGGGCCGCATATATATCTGAATTAATAAGTTATCGTTTCATACAAACGAGAACGTCTAAACAATCATAATATTCCGTATAATATATTATTAAATAAAAATAATAATGTTAAGTTACGCATGTATGTGAGTACACAGTATTTATTTAACACATAGCTACAGTATTTAGATTATGTAAGTAAAAACACTTGTATACAATAAACTATGATGAGACGCACAAAGTTATTATCGTAAAGGATACAATAAAATAATAAATATGTACATGCATTCTGGAAACAAAAAGTCGTGATTGTCTTAGATGGCAGGAACTTCCATTGAAATACATATGTACATATACTGCAGGTGCCTCGCCTCTCTCACTGGTCCGTTCCTTTCTGAAAACGATTTATTGATATGTATTTTATTTTATTTACA